TAGTCAGGATGGTCTCGATCTCCTGACCTCGTGATCCGCCCGCCTCGGCCTCCCAAAGTGCTGGGATTACAGGCGTGAGCCACCGCGCCCGGCCGACAAGCCACAGTTTGAGGGTCTAACCCAGGGTTCTCAGTGCGGATGACCTGCCCCCAGGGGACACTAGTCCATGTCTGGGGACATCTGTGGTTGTCACAACTGGGGCAAGCCCCTGGTGGAGAGAGTGGAGGCCAGGGACGCTGCTCAGCACCCTGTAGTGCCCAGGGCAGCCCCACCTCAGAGAACCATCAGGCCCCTGTGTCCCCAGTGCTGGGGGCCAGTCTGTCCTGGGGACCCTTGGGATACGTCACGTCACTGTGGCCACCCCCAGGTGGACAGTTGCTGCTGCACCTCTGGCACGTGGGCCAATGGCGCACTTGGAAGGTATTCCGTAAACGCCGTGGAGGAATGAAGGAATGGGCCCACCCTCGTGGCGCGGTGCGAGCGGCTGATCACAAAGCCTTTTCCCACCTTTGAATCCTCACAGCAAAGTAGCCTGGGCCAGAGCTCAGCCCAGCCATTTTTCAGAAGGGGAGACGGAGGCCACAGAAAGAGAAGAGCTGTGCTCAGGGCCACACGTGCAGGATGCGGGGCTGGGAAATGGGATGTGGCGTGTGACTCATCATGCCTCACTTGTTCCTTTAAGTGTTACTGAAGGCCTTGGATATCCCAAGAACCCAGGCCTGCTCTCGATGAGGGGACGCCATTGTCGGGGAAGACAATTCACAGATGAATGTTTAGGGTGTCGGATGATGCTTGGAAACGTGGAACATGTACCTGGATAAGGAAGTGGCTGTGCTGGGGCTGGTCACCCTGAAGAGGGGACTCTTGAAGTCAGGTCTAAATGACGGAGAGGGAGTGTGTCAGAAGGGGTAGGAGTGTGATCTGAGCAGCAGACACAGGCCGTGCAAATGCCCTGGGGCAGGACTATCCCTGGTGTGTTGGAGGAACAGCAAGGAGGTCTGGGTGGCTGGAGCCGAGTGAGGAGGGGACGGGGCAGGTCGGGCTGGACCTGGGCTTCCACCTCAAGGGAGGGGGGAGCCCGGGAGGGCTCTGGGCAGAGGAGTGACCTGATCCAAGGCGGGTCTCATTTAAAAGGATCGCTCTGATGAGGAGGTCAGGCCACCGGGCGGGGGCAAGGGCCGGAGGTGGAGACAGTGGGACGTAAACCCAGACCAGTGTTGCCGGACCTCAGGAGTCACGCTGTGGTGGTGAGAAGCAGCTAGGCTCTGGGCATTTTGAAGTCAGAGCTGCCTGGGTCCGATGTAGGTGGTGAGAGAGA